AAAGTGGGAATTTTAAAGTGATCAGAGCACCACGGCTAAACTCTTTTGGGTAAAACCAAAACAAAAACACCTTTTTTACAGCCCCGGCAGTAACATTTCATATCTTTGGTACTCATTTTAAGCATGTCCCCCAATTTTTTTCCCTCTGTTTTCAAATTACAAGTGGAAGAAATAAAGTAGCTTCTGTCAAGGTGACTTAAAACCATCTATTAAGACGACCATTTCCTGTAGGAGAAGCTTCCCCCCCTTCAAAAAAAAGACTACTATGTAATCTCTTCCATGGCAAACTCTATTTTGAATTTAAGAAGTCTCCAAATATTTGAGTCTGAATTATCCCAATGATTAGCTACCTTAAGGAATGGGAGAAGATAAAGAATTGGGCCCTTAACTGGCTCCTTCACTTAGGTACCAGACCAGCTGGAGAGGTGAGAACAGAAAATGCCATGGAGATGCCAAAAATGAAAAGGGAGAGACTGGACCAAAAAGGCCTCAACGAGAAGGCTCAACAGCAACGACAAGAGGCAGAACCAGCCTTTGTCCTGCATGCCCAGCCCTGGGAAAGCTGGCTATCCAGGCAGGAGGGAAACTGGAACCTGGGGATGTCTCTGGGGGTCAGGGTTTGGGAAGGGGGTGGGATGGTGATGGCCAGAGATGTGCCAGACAGAAATGGCACCCATGGCTTCTTTACCTTTGCGTGTCTTCCGGTTGGTGATGGGCCGCACACGTTGGACTTCTGCGGCTTCCGCACCCGGCTCGCCAGGCTCTGCAGTGGCGGATGCTGGTGCTGCGGTGGCCACAGTCTCAGGGATCTGAGAGTCATTGCGGGGTGCTACCTTCCGCCTGCAGAAGCCACATCTGGGGCCAGCCCTGGGGCCCAGGCAACAGCTCAAGGTGTTCCCCATGGACCACCTAGGAGAAGACCTTCTGTCTTATTTTAAAAACCAAAGGACACAGTAAGCGCCAAGAGGCACAAAAACTGCCGTGAGACAGTCTAGTCGGAGCTCCTCCTCTCCCCACTCCTAGCTTCCGACTGAAGGCTGCTGGCCCTGGCTGATGCCTATCACCCACAAAGCCTCCTATGTCACCTGGTTACCAGGAAACAACCAAGTCAGGCTAGTGGCTCACAAAGCCATGCACTGCAACCCCACCCAAATGTCATAATGCCCGTCCCTGATGCTGCCCACCTTGTGGCCACCCTGCCCCTCTGTGGTGACTGCATTATTCATCCTGGGCTGCCTGAGCTTTCCAGTCCTGAGAAAAGTACAGAAGGGTTTTATTGGAAGTCACTCTTGGCAACGAACTCAATATAAAACCCCGGTTACGGCAGGGTGTGGTGGCTCACACCTGTAATCCCAGTACTTTGGGAGGCTGTGACGGGTGGATCACCTGAGGTCAGGAGTTCAAGACCAGCCTGGCCAACGTGGTGAAAGTACATTTACACCTAGTCTCTGCTAAAAGCACAAAAATTAGTCTAGCATGGTGGCGAGCCCTGTAATCCCATGTACTCGGGAGGCCGAAGTAGAAGAATCACGTGAACCAGGGAGGTGGAGGTTGCAGTGAGCTGAGATTGAGCCATTGCACTCCAGCCTGGGTGACAGAGAGGATTCTGTCTCAAATAAATAAATATTAAAAAGACCAGGCACAGTAGCTCACGCCTGTATTCCCAGCACTTTGGGAGGTCAAGGCAGGCAGATCACCTGAGGTCGGGAGTTTTAGTCCGGCCTGACAACATGGAGAAACCCCTTCTCTACTAAAAATACAAAATTAGTTGGGTGTGGTGGCTGGCGCATGCCTGTAATCCCAGCTATTCGGGAAGCTGAGGCAGGAGAATTGCTTGAACTTAGGAGATGGAGGTTGCAGTGGGCCAAGATGGCACCAGTGCCCTCCAGCTTGGGCAACAGAGCAAGACTCTGTCTCAATAAAAAAGAAAAAAAGAAGAAGAAGAAGAAAGGAGACTTGGGTAATAGGGTGATTTAAGCCGCGTTAAGTAAAGCGTGAAAATCTGATGAGTGAGAGTCAAGGTACCTGAATGTTCATCAGAAACAGCTGATTTGGTGAGTGTCATCAGAATGAAGATGGCGTCTGCTTCTCATTTCTGTAGCGGCCGCACCTAGCACAGTACCTGGTCAGTAGGTACTCAGTACCTAATACCGCAATGAACAGAGTAAAATTTTGCCAGGTCAGTGTTTTCATCCCCACCAACTTCCCTCGTGGAATGTTACTTGTTTTGCTTACTGTCATGTTTTTGAAATTCATCCCTACCTCGTTCTTTTTTCCTTTGATAACTGAGCAGCACTCCACGGTACTGTTAGACCACATGGGTCTATCCATTCTCTAGCTGATGGACACTTGGGTTGTCTCCACTTGTTGGCTGTAGTGAATGAGACTGCTGGGAACATTTATGTATATGTCTTTTTTTTTTTTTTTTATGAGACCAAATCTTGTTCTGTCGCCCAGGCTGGAGTGCAGTGGCGCGATCTCGGCTCACTGCAACCTCTGCCTCCAGGGTTCAAGCGATTCACCTGCCTCCGCCTCCTGAGTAGCTGGGATGCAGGGGCCCGCCACCACATCCAGCTTTTTTATATAAGTGTATTTGGTAGAGACGGAGTTTCCCCGTGTTGGCCAGGCTGATCTGGAACTCCTGACCTCAAGTGATCCGCCTGCCTTGGCCTCCCAAAGTGCTGGGATTACAGGCGTGAGCCACCTCACCCAGCTGGTGACACGTATTTTGTTGTTGTTTGTTTTTTTTGTTTGTTTGTTTGTTTGTTTGTTTGTTTTGAGACGGAGTTTCGCTCTTGTTACCCAGGCTGGAGTGCAATGGCGCGATCTCGGCTCACCGCAACCTCCGCCTCCTGGGTTCAGGCAATTCTCCTGCCTCAGCCTCCTGAGTAGCTGGGATTACAGGCACGCGCCACTATGCCCAGCTGAATTTTTGTATTTTTAGTAGAGAGGGGGTTTCACCATGTTGACCAGGATGGTCTCGATCTCTTGACCTCGTGATCCACCCGCCTCGGCCTCCCAGAGTGCTGGGATTACAGGCGTGAGCCACCGCGCCCGGCCTTGTTTTGGTTTTTTGAGACCAAGTCTCGCTCTGTTGCCCGGGCTGGAGTGCAGTGGCGTGATCTTGGTTCACTGCAACCTCTGCCTCCCATGCTGTTCAAGAGATTCTCTTGCCTCAGCCTCCCAAATAGCTGGGACTAGAGGCGTGTGCCACCGTGACCGACTAATTTTTGTATTTTAGCAGAGACAGAATTTCAACGTGTTAGGCAGGATGGTCTCGATCTCCTGACCTCATGATCCACCCTCCTCCACCCCCCAACATGCTGGGATTACATGTGTGAGCCACTGTGACCAGCCTACACATCTTTTTTGAACACATGCTTTTATTTCTTCTGGATAAATTTCTAGGGCTGGGATTTCTAGGTCAAATGGCTAATTTATGCTTAAGTTCTTTTTTTGACCTTTCTTATGAATAGAAAATATTATACTGATACATAATATTGGACCTATCTACGAGGTACGTGTGATGTTTGGTTCAGCGCATCTAGCACGTCATCATCAAGTCAGGGTATTTGGGGTATGGCCTTGAGTATTCACCATTTCTCTGTGTTGAGTATATTTCAAGTCCTGTCTTGTAGCTATTTTGAAATATACTTTGGGAGGTCAAGGCCAGGAGGAAGCGAGGAAGGAAGGAAACATACATGAGAGGCCTGGAAGAGGCTCAGGACACTTGCGAAAGACGGGCTCTGAGCTCCCCAGGAACCACTGCAAATACACCGTTGCTAACGACAGCCACTCTACTCTGCCGTCTAACATTAGAACACTTCGCTGAACCTGCGAGGATCCATTGACCGACCTCTGTGCGTTCCCTTCTCATACCTGGAGACAGAGAAAGGAAGGAGGGAAAGAAGCTGTGGTTGGCTGAGTTAGGACCTCCCAGGGAGGCCTGTGTCCCAGTCCCAGGACCTGTCCATGTGCTGTGTTGTGTGGTCACAGGGACTTTGCGGAGGTGACAGTGTTAAGGAGCCTGAGGTGGAAGATGATCCTGGGTTATCTGCGTGGGTCCAAGATGGGGTTTTTATAAGGGAAAGAGGGAGGTAGTGGGGTCAGAGTGAGAGAAGGTGTGGGGTGGAGGGAAAGAAAGGGAGAGAAGGAGGGAGGATGAGAGAAGACAGTGGGGGCGGGGGGGGGGAGAGAGGGGCGGGGAGAGAGATTTGAAGAGGCTGCTCTGGCGCTGAAGTCGGAGGAAGGGGCCAGAAGCCCAGGGCGTCCTCTGGAAGCTGAAAACATCCTGGAAGCGGATTTTCGCCAGAGCCCTCAGAAGGAGGCCGCCCCTGCTGAGCCCTGATTTTAGCACTTGAGGATTCATTTTGGACTTCTGACCTTCAGACCTGGGAGAGAATCAGTGTGTGATGTTTTAAGCCACTAACTTAGGGGTGATTTGTGACAGCAGCCACCGGAAAGTCAAACAGGAGCCGTGGGAGAGACTCCCCAGGATGCCTGGAGGACCCCTCCCTGGCTCCACCCACGGAGACACAGGCCTGACCACTGCTGGTGCCCCCACCCCTCTGACCCCCTGCTGAGCAGGAAGCATGCAGGAGGGGCTGGGCCGTGTTCTCTCCCACACACCTTTCCCTCAGAGAGCAGCTGGAGCCCCAGACCCAGGGAGCCTCACAGAGAAAGTCTCAGTGCAGGACCTGGTTTTCCACCTGAGGCCCAGGATCCAATGGAGAAGTGTTTCCCAAAAAGGATGCTTCCCCAGGGAACAACACTCACAGCAGGGCTAGGTTGGGGGTGGAAGGGAGGGGAGGGGAGGGGAGGGGAGGGACAGTGGGGGCGGGGGGGGGGGGGGGGGAGGATGGGGAGGGATAACACCGGGAGAAATGCCTGATGTAGGGGCCAGTGGAGAGGATGGAGACAGCAAACCATCATGGCATGTATGTACCTATGCAGCAATCCTGCAGGATGCAGGACATGCACATGTACCCCAGAGCCCAGAGTACAATTTAAAAAAAAAAAGGATGCTTCCTCCAAAGATGGCCAGTGACAATGACATTCTGTGCCAAGCACCTGAGAAAATCTCCACATCCTAGGGCTGCCAGGCAGATATCTGTGCACATGTTGGAGCCCAAATCCCATCGATAGTGAGGCCTGGGGTAAAACACATCCCCACTTTTAATTATGATGAGATGCCTGGCCTCAGCCCTCAGCATGGAGAACACCAACTTCCTTTGAGCAAAGACTTGTTTAACCTCTTAGAAATGATGGAGCACCTATTACCCTTCTTGCACTGGTTCCTGGGTAGCTCAGAGCCTATCTTTTTACAAGTGTCCTGAGCCTCTTGTAGGCCTTTCATGTGTGTTTCCTTCCTGGCTTCCTCCTATTTTTCTCACACCTCTGAACCTGCTGTCAGGTGAAAAATCAAGGTGGGCCCAGAATGTAAGAGCTCATGAATCTGATGGTGTTTGGAGTGTCCTGGACAGTCTAGCTCTCAGTGGTGGGGAGTTGGGCAGAAAGGAAGAACATTCCAGGGGCCAGGGCCAGAGGCAGAGGGGCTCCAGGCCCAGAGTAGGATTTCTAGGCTGAGGAAAGAGAGGCCGTGGGAGGGTAGAGGGTCGAGAGGGCGTATCTGGAGGCTCAACCAGAAATAGCCCCCTCCAGAAGCAGGCAGCGAGTCAGGGGTTGAGCTGCAAAGAGGAAGGGAGGAGGGAGAGAATGGAGGGACTGGTGTTGAGTGAGCAGACTCCTATCCTGGCCTGTTTCCCCAGGAGACACCCCTTGGAGGCTGTGATCCTCTCCCCCAGGCTACTTTCCCACTGGTGCCAGGATGCCCCCAGCGCCACACTGAGAAGCCAGGAGAAGCATCAAATTCTATGAGAGATAAGAAATGCAGAGAGAGCAGGCTTTCTGGTTGACAAAGAGAATATTTACTGAGGGTTTACTGGGTACAGGAAGCGTGGATGGCTTGGGATGCAGGGAGAGACCCCTCCCCTGGGAACCTGCAGCTCCACCCCCCTGTGGGTGGGGTGAGGGTTGGGGGCCTAAGGACATCCTGCAGTGGCCACTGTCTTCTCCACGGTTTTCCCCTCGTGCGTGACCTGGCAGCTGTAGCTGCTGCGGGACTTCCACTGCTGCGGCGTGAGGCTCAGGTAGCTGCCGGCCGCGTACCTATTGTTGCTCTGTTTGGAGGGCGTGGTGGTCTCCACTCCCTGGGTGATGGGGGTGCCATCTGCCTTCCAGGTCACCGTCAAGATTCCTGGATAGAAGTCATTCATGAGACACACCAGTGTGGCCTTGTTGGCTTGGAGCTCCTCAGAGGAGGGCGGGAACAGAGTGACCGAGGGGCTGGCCGTGGGCTGACCTGTGTGGACAGAGCAGGGTGAGAGATGGCAGAGGGAGTGTGGGGCGTCGTGGAGCGCGTCTCTTCGTCTAAAGTCTCTGGGAGGGTTCGTGGTGGGGCCGTCGGGTCCACCCTGGGCCTCTCCTTCCTTCCTCATCCCCCTCCTTTCCACTGGAGCCCTCTGGAGAGCAGACAGCCTTCTACCTTCCCAGGAGCCCTTCCCAAGTCACCTTTCCCTGGTGCCCTGGCCCAGCCCTTCCTCTGCAGCCTCGGTTTCCCCTCAGTTTCAAGGCAGGCTGCTCCCTCCTTCCTGGTTTCTGGAGTCTGAGTTTGGAATCTAGGGGTCCGTCCCACAGCACACAAACCATTTGTCAGGGTGTGGGGAGGCCCAAGCATGGCATGGCCTGGAGCTTCCCATCCCCTGGGACACCAGGCTGTGCCCCAGCCTGGCCCACTCAGCTCTGCTGGTGAAGCATGGGCTCCACACACACACGCTCTGGGACTCTGCCGTCTCCCTGTCCCCACCAGCCCGACCACAGGACCCTTCACGTTGGCTACGTTCTTGGGGCTGCTCCCCCAGACTTTGGGGCACTGCAGCCCCCATGCCCACCCCAGCAGCTTCTGATGCCCCTGGACTTCACCTGGCGGCCATGGAGTTCTCTGTACCCCATTTACTCCCCCTAGTTCCCTCCTGGCTCTAAGGTGCCCTTCCTCAAATGAAGGTGGGAGGCCGACCCGTGAACAGAGACTCTGGGTCCCCGGGGTGATGGGGCTCCAGAGACGGACACATCTCTGCCCTGAGAGCCTCTCCTTTCCAGTGACCATCCTGGGAGGGCTGGGCTCTGGCACCTCACCCAGTCTCATCCATCCCTCTGTGTCCCCGTGTCCTCATGACCCAGCACAGGCCAGAGAGCTGCAGCCTAGACCCAGAGCCCTCTCTGTGCCCTTCATTGGTCTCCCTTTGGGGTGACCTCTGTGTCCCCAGGCCCCTCTGTGGCCTTCACAGGCTGGATGGGCATCCAGCCCTCAGCCTAGACCCTGGGGTCCCGGGGACTGTCTCTAAGGCCACTGCAGCGCCCTCATTAGAACCGGCCTCTGTCCCTCACTCAGACATCTGGCCTGGAAATGGGGAGGAGCCTGACTCTGCCTAATCCCAGCCCAGGCCCCGCGACCCGGCTGCATCCCGCTGTTGGAAACCTGAAGGTGTCTGCTCCCACTGTGGGGCCCTTCCCATCAGTTACCCCCAGACTAGCCTACTTCCCCAGACCCCATGGAGAAAGGAAGGGTTCAGTGTTTAAGGCTGGGAGGGCAGAGGGGAAGAAGCCCCAAAGAGAGAACACAGATTTTCCAGAGACAGGAGAGGGTGGGACAGGCTGGGGAAGGTTGTGGGAGCCACTTACCTAAAACGCTGAGCTGGGTCCCGCTGCCAAACACATGCCTCAGTGAATTCTGCTTGGATTGAACATCCCAAGGCCAACATCTGGGGCCAGCCCAGGAGCCAGGCTGGAGCAGGAACCTGCTGGGTGTGAGGGGCACAGGGCTGCCGTGTGCAGGCTGTGACCTGGGCACAGGGCAGGGGGTGGCCAGCCTCCCAGTGGTGTATCTGTGCCTGTCCCCTGTCTGAGGCAGATGCTGCCCACAGCCTTGGGGTCACCCTAGTGTGTGTTCCCTTCTCTGAAGCCGTTGGTGCTGATGGCAACACTGGGCCCAGTAGCTTCCAGCAAATCCCTGAGTGACACGTCCCCTCAGACAGCTGTGCGGTGTGGCTGAGGAGTCCCGAGCTGGCTTGGAACTGCCCAACCTCACTTGGCCTCATTTTAAGGGACTTTGAAATTCACCACAAGTGTCACCAGTCAAGCCAGGCTGACTTCCTCTCTGGACCAGGACACTGGGTCATTCCTGACTCAGGAGGAGAGTCCCCTGGAGATGCAGCTCAGTCTCACTTTGTTCATGAAGCCTTTCCGATCTCTCAGATCATTCATTCTGTCTGTCCATCCATCCGTCTGTCCATCTATGCATCTGTCCATCTATTCCTCTGTCTTTGCATCCATCTATCATCCATCCATCCATCCATCCATCCATCTGTCCGTCCGTCCATAAATCCATCCTGTCTGCCAGGCATGCTTCGTGTGCTGGGGACACGGTGTGGTCCCCCAGGCTCTCAGACTCATCTCTTCCACGTCTTGGCCAACAAGGCCCTCCTCATGGTCATGTCCAAGGTTCTTCTGCTGTACCTGTGTCTCTGCTGGATGTGACACGGGGCTGGCCCCTCTTTCCAGTGACCCTCTGGGGGAAAAGACTCCCCTTTCCTCTTCCCCTGGCATCCGTTTCCCCGTGGCCTATGCCTGGCTACTGACTCCCCAGACCCCCACCCAAACCTCTTTCTTGGCCATCTTCACACTCTGTGGACCCCTACTACTGCCCACGTGGTACGGCTGGAGCCTATCCCAGCTCCAGACCCTCCCAGCCCCACCTCAATTGCCTGCTGACCGTGCCCAGCGGGCTACCCAACAGGAGTCTCAAACTGTTCACCTCCAGAGGAAAGGATCACCTTCCCCAGCCCAGCTCATTTTCCGTCTTCATCTTATCACCGTGACCCTCGGCGCTCTCAATCCCTCAGCCAGGAACCTGGAGTCACTGGACTCCGTCACCTCGCCTCCAACACTGAAATGGCTTCCGCGTACTGCATTCTTAGATACTACATCTAGACATTCCTTTTCTTGGAGACAGACTTAGCCTGTCACCCAGGCTGGCATGATCTTGGTTCACTGCAACCTCCGCCTTCCGGGCTCTAGGCGATTCTTCTGTCTCAGCCTCTGGAGTAGCTGTATAGCTGGGATTACCGCCGTGAGCCACCACACCTGGCTAATTTTTTTTTTTTTTTTTTTTTCTTTTGAGATGGAGTCTTGCTCTGTCACCCAGGCTGGAGTGCAGTGGCTCGATCTCAGCTCACTGCAACCTCCGCCCCCTTGGTTCCAGCGATTCTCCCGCCTCAGCCTCCCAAGTAGCTAGGACTACACTCATGTGCCATCACATGCAGCTAATTTTTGTATTTTTTAGTGGAGACAGGTTTCACCATATTGCCTGACCTTGTGATCTGCCCACCTCAGCCTCCCAAAGGTTTGATTACAGGCCTGAGCCACCACGCCCAGCCCTAACTTTTTGTTTTTTTTTTTTTTTTTGAGACAGAGTCTTGCTCTGTCACCCAGGCTGGAGTGCAGTGGCGCAATCTTGGCTCACTACAACCTCTGACTATGGGTTCATGTGATTCTCCTGTCTCAGCCTCCCGAGTAGCTGGGACTACAAGCACGTGCCACCACGCCTAGCTAATTTTTGTATTTTTAGTCAAGACGGGGTTTCACCACATTAGCCAGGATGGTCTCGATCCCCTGGCCTCGTGATTCACCTGCCTCGGACTCTCAAAGTGCTGGGATTGTAGGCATGAGCCACCGTGCCCAGCCCTTAATTTTGTATTTTGGGTACAGATGGGGTTTTACCATGTTGGCCAGGCTGGTCTCGAACTCCTGACCTTAGTTGATCCACCCCCATCCGCCTCCCAGAGCGCTGAGATTAGAGGTGTGAGCTATAGTGCCCGGTGACATTCCTTTTTTTTCTTTTTTTTAATTTGAGACGGAGTTTCGTTCTTGTTACCCAGGCTGGAGTGCAATGGTGC